ATGTATTGCGCCCTCCATCCAAAACATTTTGATTAATTTATCATTTTTACTTTGGAATGTTTAGAAATTTAAAAAAAAAAAAAATGTATCTTTCTTAATACAATTACATGTAAAGTATATTTAAAAAGTTTTTCTAAAAGCGAAAAAGAAAACAAAAAAGTAATAAAATATGGGTGTTTGTAGGTTAAAAAGATATATATTATGCATAAAATAGACTTTTTTAGTAGATGGTATTTACTTTCTCGTGCCTTGTGTTGATAAATAGTGTGTGACTATATATCTAAGCATTTCTTTTTTACACGGAAAATATATTTGCTTTTACACGTAAAATACATTTGTAGACACTAAAAATATATGTCTAAAATCAATTAGATATCATATATTTTGGAAGAAAATAAAATTTCAATAAAATAAATATATGGTATTTAATTATGCACATATGTTAATTTTTGTACAATAAATATCAACCATTAATGCAAAATATGCTTAAAATGGAAGATATCGTACAAATATTACGTGCATAAATAGAGCCATATAAATTAATATCTTCCAAAAAAGGCAATGATATAAAGATTTTGGCGAGAAAGGAAGGTGCACAATCAAATCCGTCAAGAATGGAAAACAACATCTGATGGAAAAGGAAAGATTATAAAATCTTTCCATAAACGTGGCACCATCCGAAAAGGAAGCCAAGACCACCCATCCCCTATAAATAGGAGCCATGGTCAGTTCATTTGACACACCGAAGTTGCATCGAGGATTCAAGCAAAGGGGTAAGTCTCTCTAGACTCTCTGCAATGTTCTTCATTGTTCTTCGTGTCCTTCGAAGCGTTCTTCGTCGAAAAGTCACCGATTTGGACAAATGATCCAATATTGGTTGGCGAATCGATGGAGTTAACGTTCTTCGTCGTATGTCCAAGCCAAAACAAAGATCAAAGCCTCGGATCGTCCAAAGAGGACATCAAATCCAAAGTTGAGGATAAAATCACCCATACGGAGACCAAAGTCCTCCAAAAGGCGGCAAAGCTAAAGCAAAGATCAAAGCCTCGGATCCTCTAAAAAAGACATCAAATCCAAAGCCGACGATCAAATCGCTCGCACGGAGACCGAAGTCCTCCAAAAGCGGCAAAGCCAAAACAAATGTCAAAGTCGCAGATCATCCAAAGAAAACAACAAATCCAAAGACGATGATCAAATCGCCAATGCGGAGACCAAAGTCCTCTAGAAGGCGGTAAAGCCAAATCAAAGATCAAAGCCTCGGATCGTCTAAAAAAGACATCAAATCCAAAGGCGATGATCAAATCGCCAACGCGGAGACCAAAGTTCTCCAAAAGGCGGCAAAGCGAAATCAAAGATCAAAGCCTCGGATCGTCTAAAAAAGACATCAAATCCAAAGCCGACGATCAAATCACCCGCACGGAGATCAAAGCTCTCCAAAAGCCGGCAAAGTCAAACTGAAGATCAAACCTCTTCGGATCAAAGAAGCCATCGAAAACCAAGTTGGAAAATAAATCGACCCGGAAGGAAAATCAAAGACCCATTTAGAGAATAGGACCCGCTTTAAATTCAAATCAAATATAATTTGTACAAATTTTGTGTTTATTAAAAACTAACACAATGTTTTGTCCACAGATTCTTGGCACGCCCAGTGGGACCTCTCCACCTTTCATCTCTCTTTCCGACGAACTTTCAACAACCAATGGCTTCCTACAAGATCAAGACTTCCAACGTTGTGTCAAAAGTTGCTGCTCAAGCCGCCGTCGCCGCCAAAGAAGTTGGCGCACCCATCGCCTCCAAAACCTTAAGCGCTTCGACAAATACTGGAATGACAACATGAAGCATGACCAAAAGAGCATTGTCGTTATCTGAAGACACTTCTCCAAAAATCACAAAGCAAAGTCCACTCTATGAAGAAGACGACAACTTCAAGAGTATTGCCGTATTGTTCACTCCTCAACAACTGCAAGTCATTCGACCGCATCAAGCTCTGCTCTGGTGATGACTATCAATGCTTCAAATATAAAGAACAACTTGCAGCATTGGCCAAAGTCGTTGAAGGGATGTCTCAGCACATGCAACAACAAGACGCCCTCATAAAAAAACTTATCACAAAGTTGGACAAGCCTGAAGAATCCAGTCATGCCATTGAAAAACAACCATCTTCCCCAGCAGCCCGAAATAAAACGGCAACATATGTGGAGCAACGTCATGACAAAGAAAAGGTGGCGGAACCAAATCCATTTCAAGGATCATCCAACTCATTCATCCATGTATCCCAACTTGACAAATACATCAAGGGGGCAATCAAAAGAGAATTCAAAGGGAGTTCAAGGCCAACGCACACTTACACCAAGCCTTACACGGCAAGGATTGATGCCCTCAAAATGCCTACGAGCTATCAACCACCAAAGTTTCAACAATTTGACGGCAAAGGCAACCCAAAGCAACATATAGCGCACTTTGTCGAGACATGCAACGATGCTGGAACATATGGATACCTCCTAGTCAAACAATTTGTGCGGTCACTAAACGGCAACGCCTTCGACTGGTAGATCGACTTAGAGGCTGGTTCCATCGACAATTGGGAACAACTAAAGTACGAGTTCTTGAATCGGTTCTACAGCATAAAGAGAACCGTCAGCATGACTGAACTCACCAACAACCACCAATGGAAAGATGAACCAGTAATTGACTACATCAACCGCTGGAGAAGTCTAAGCCTCAACTGCAAAGACCGTTTGTCCGAGGCTTCCGGCATAGAAATGTGCATTCAAGGGATGCAATGGGGCTTGAAATACATCCTGCAAGGGATCCGATCCCATACTTTTGAAGAACTCGCCACTCGCACTCATGATATGGAATTGAGCATGATGTCTAGTGGAATGTATGGACCGCCTATTGAAGATTTCTCAGATGACGAGAAATACAACACTTCAAACAGTGAGGGCAATCATACCTACAACACTCCTGGAAATGAGGATAAACTTTCTGCAATCTCCTGGAAATGAGGATAAACTTTCTGCAATCTCTTGGAAACGAGAATAAACTTTCTGCAATCTCCTGGAAACGAGGATAAACTTTCTTCAATCTCCTGGAAATGAGGATAAACTTTCTAGCAAGACTCCTTAACACGAGAATAAACTGTTTAACAAAAACAAACAAATTCAATTTGTTTTGAACTATGTTATGACTTGATTCCTTAACCGGATACGTAGGCAACTTGGAATATAACTCCGAGTTCAGTCAAAAAAAATAATAAATTGGGCAAAAAAAAAGTCCAAATAATCGGGCTTAAAAAAAAACCAATTGGAAAAAAAAAATCTCGTTCAAAAAAAAGGGAAAAAAGAAAAAACCCTTTGAAAAAAAATATTGGCTAAAAAAAATAAAAAAATGATAGCCATAAAAAAAAATCAGTCAAAAAATAAATTGACTTCTGTTTCGAGACTCGTTCACGCCATAAACGCTTTGCGTCGGCTTAAACAAGTCTCGAGGGGACATTTTGTAGACACTAAAAATATATGTCTAAAATCAATTAGATATCATATATTTTGGAAGAAAATAAAATTCCAATAAAATAAATATATGGTATTTAATTATGCACATATGTTAATTTTTGTACAATAAATATCAACCATTAATGCAAAATATGCTTAAAATGGAAGATATCGTACAAATATTACGTGCATAAATAGAGCCATAATACATTTGGCAGCAAAATAAATTAATCTTGTCAATAAAGGAAGTATATAAATTAATATCTTCCAAACAAGGCAATGATATAAAGATCTTGTCAATAAAGGAAGTATATAAATTAGTATCTTCCAAAAAAGGCAATGATATAAAGATTTTGGCGAGAAAGGAAGGTGCACAATCAAATCTGTCAAGAATGGAAAACAGCATCTGATGGAAAAGGAAAGATTATAAAATCTTTCCATACACGTGGCACCATCCGAAAAGGAAGCCAAGACCACCCATCCCCTATAAATAGGAGCCATGGTTAGTTCATTTGATACACCGAAGTTGCATCGAGGATTCAAGCAAAGGGGTAAGTCTCTCTAGACTCTCTGCAATGTTCTTCATTGTTTTTCGTGTCCTTCGAAGCGTTCTTCGTCGAAAAGTCACCGATTTGGACAAATGATCTAATATTGGTTGGCGAATCGATGGAGTTAACGTTCTTCGTCGTATGTCCAAGCCAAAACAAAGATCAAAGCCTCGGATCGTCCAAAGAAGACATCAAATCCAAAGTTTGCTCCCCTAGCGTGATATTGATCAATGAAGCGAGTTTGCGCCCCGCCCTCATATGGTTGGTAAAAGTCTCCAAAAAAATTATGGGATGGTACAGTGAGGTTTAACTACATTCATGTTTGATGTTATTCAACTTATGATGAGTCAAGTTAGTCATTTGGTTGTCTAAGTCAAAATCCATTCTCATTATTGATAAGATGTGCACCCACAGAATTTCCCCTAATACAAATTATATATGTCTTTTAATATAATTACTTGTTATTTACTACGACTTAGTAAGTAAGAAAGGTCCATTTGATGCCATGAATATTTATGTTACATAGTTTCATTCAATTGAGGGTGCACAAAGTGTGCGCTTTAGGGTAATTTTATGATGGGTGACCCTGTAATGTTTCTAGAGTGCTCGCAAAAAGGTAGTTAATTAGAAGGATTTGTATTGACCTGTAGGGTCAATCTACGGAACTTCATTCTCTTCTCCCATGGCCAATTTGTTTTTAGGAATCATACTAGATTAAATAGGAAGATCTGTTGTTAAGTTTAAAGTTAATGAAATTCATGCCAAAGCAGCATGACACTTAAATGGGGTACGTGTTGTTCTCTCGTTTTATGCATAAAACAGATTAACCAATACTTGACACATAGTTGGGGCACACGTCGTGCTCTGGTTTCTTGCATGAAAGAGAACGACCACGTGTCCAATGTTGGCTCTCAATAAATAGACGCCCATCCTGCCTTTCTTGCTCATAAACACACAAAAAAAAAATTGTATTCGGAAGCAGAAAGAAGATTTATGTTCTCTTTTTTCATGAGCAAGTTTCTCGGTTATTGATGATGTTTTGAAACAGCCTTTTCAGTTTTGGCATCTAAGTTATTTACGACTTTCCTTTTTGTCTATGCTCCCCTGTAGTTATTATCGCCATTGAAAACATTATTCATTTGTTCGATCTTTTTTGGATACTAAGCCATTAGATCTTCCTGTTCGCAGAACATTGCAGGGCGAGAGAGCGTGGATTCAACGTAGTGAATCCTATTATGAACCGAACATGGAGTTACATAAGTGGAAGTTGAGCAAGAACTATAGATTTCATCTATCGGTCTTTGGCAAGCTTTTCTAATTAAGATTCTAGTATTCGATGGCAGCCTGTGAGTTTTTGTAAATCTATTTCTCTTTACTTTGCCCCTAATTTGCATAACCTCTGGAGATAGAATATTAAAAACTTGAAAAAAATTGAATGCAATTTGTGACCAACTTTTTTTTTTTCATTTGCGCTGTTACTCACAATCGATGCTATAATCACGTTGCAGGTGGATGCTATTGAATTATTACGATGTGGAATAGTCTGAAGGGTTTAATGAGGAGGCACGAGGCTTAAAGATGTTACTCCATCAGTATAAACCCGAACCAGACTTTCTAATCGAATGTATCTCGAAGATTGCCTAACCTCCATCCACTAGGATTGTTTTGGTGGTTCAAGATCGTTGTATTAATTTTTGGAATATTTTCAATTTAGAATATTTATGTTGATGTGACATTTTGAATATAACTATGAATTTTTTATGCTTCTGTATAATATGAATAATATGAAAATAAATTTGAGTTACAGACACATTCTTATTTTCTCGCCAACATTTGTCGAATGGCAATCGCAATCGTCAAGTTATTTCGTTTATGTCAATTTATAGTTTCGAACTAAATTTGAGTTACCCATTAAATTTATTTTTAAAAAGTTATCTACTTTATGTATGGATACTAATTTATTCACTAAATTAAAATAGAAAATTTATGTACTGACATATTTGCATTTGAACTGTGGAGTTAAATAATAATAATAATAAGAAGAAGAAGAAAAATAAGAAAGATAATATCGAAATAATGTCTAACAACTTAATACGCGTCACACACTAATTTCGTGTATGAAACATGTTAATCACATGTTCACTAAAATAATGTCTGACACTCATCTCAATATGAATTACACACTTATTTCATGAACGAAACAAATCGACCACTTGTTCACCAAAATAGTGTCTAACACGTATCTCAATGCACATCGCATTCTAATTTCGTGCATGAAGGGGATCTACCACGTGTTTACCAAACTAATGTCTGACACGCATCTTAATACGCATCACACACTAATTTCGTGCATGAAGTGAATCCACCACATATTCACCAAAATATCGGCGAACACGTATCTCAATACACATCACGGATCGACCACGTGTTCACCAAAATAATGTCTGACACATATATATCTCAATACGCATCACACACTAATTTTGTGCATGAAGCGGATCAACCTAGTCTCCAACAAAATAGTGTCTGACGCGTACGAATCTTAATACGCGTCACACACTAATTTCGTACATGAAACGGATCAGCCATGTTTCCACCAAAATAGTGTCTGACATGTATCTCAATACACATTATACATTAATTTTGTGCATAAAGCGTATCAACCACGTGTTCACCAAAATAGTGGAAGCAACACTTGACACTCAATTGGGGTACGTGTCATCCTCTTGTTTTATGCATGAAACAAATCAATTAATACTCAACAAGTAGTTGGGGCACTCGACATTCTCTAATTTCTTGCATGAAACAGATCAACCACGTGTCTAGTGTTGGCTCTCAAAAAATAGACCCCCATCCTGCCTTTCTTGCACACACACACAAAACAAATTGTATTCAAGAGTAATTAATTTCACAAGCAACTTAATATTAATGTTCTTTATTTTTCGTTCTAGTAAGGCATTTGAACTCTTTGTAAATTAATATTGAACTTAATGAATGGGGATTAAATATATTCAAATCATGCAGAACCAACACTTGACACCTACTAGGGAATGTCTCATACTGAAATTTCATACTGAAATAGATTGAACACATTTCCATAATCCTCTGTAGATAAATACATGATCTCAAGCATTGAAATTAAAGAAAGTTAATTAGATATATATTCAAATGTTAAAGAAATATACAGAACCAACACTATGCATATATTAAGATACATTACGCGTTCAAATTTCATGCATGAAACAGACTAAACATGTGTCCATCATCCTCCGGCGATAAATTCCACGCCAACAAGCATTAACACTTACAAAATCTAGTTAAATATATTTGAATATGCCAAAAACTTGAAGAACCAACACTCGACATGTATTATGGTACATGTTGCACTCAAATTTCATGGATGAAATATACTAATTACATGTAAATCATCCCTTGGATCAAACATTGTAATTTACGAAAACTGGTTAAATATATTCAGATGTGATAGAGACATACATAATCGGCACTCAACATGTATTAGGGTACATCTCACACTCAAATTCCATGATGAAATAGATTAACCACGTGTACGCCATCCTTTGTCGATAAATACCACGCCATCACACCTCTCTTTTTCACACAAAAATGAAATTGTAGCTTAGAACTTCAGTTAGAAATTATGTCGTTCTCTCGTTTCATCAGGAATGTTCTTTGCTATTGATGATGTTTGGCATTAGCTAGGGCTAGGGCCGGTCCTTATATTGACAGAACCCAGGGCAAAAATAAATTAGGGTCCCAATAATTAAATATTTCTTGTATTAAAAGTAAATAAAAAGTACTATGTCAAGTTTAAGTAGGAGTGTTGAAAAAGAAACTTGATTTTTGATCACCTACTACTTTGTTATTCCCAAGGAGAATTAGTGGTCTATCATATATTAGATATTAATGCATTGAACAATTTCTAGTTTATATTTTCTATGTTAGTATGTAGAATTTGTGTTTTTGGTGTTAGTAGGTAGAATTTATAAATTATAGGTACCGAAAGAATAATATGTCTTTTAACTTTATATTAGCATAAAATTAAAGAGAGATCTTAAATAGTGATTTTTTTATTTTTATTTTTTTTCACTTCTAATATGTATTGCTCCCTCCATCCAAATATTTTGATTAGTTTATCATTTTTAATTTGGAATGTCTAGAAATTTCAATATTTTTTTTAATTAAAAAAAACGATATGTATATATTTTAAAAAGTTTTGCTAAAAGCGGAAAAGAAAACAAAAAAGTAGTAAAATATAGGTCTTTGTAGGTTAAAAAGATACATATTTTGCATAATATAGGCCCTTTTTGTAGCTGGTATGTACTTTCCCGTGCCTTATTGTGATAAATAGCGTGTGGCGATATTATCTAAGCATTTTTGTTTACATGGAAAATATATTTACTTTCACACGTAAAATGCATTTATAAAGTTGCATTAAGAGCAAAAACAAGCAAAAGAAAAAATATGTATTAGACTAAAATATGATTGTTGTTTGGTTAAAAAGATATAAATTAAGCATAGAATATGTCTTTCTTTGTAGTCCTACACTCATTTTCTTGTGCTCTATTTTGGGAATTAGTATGTGGCCGTATTTATTATCAAAACATTTTTTGTCTTTACATACAAAATATATTTTTCTTTTATTTTTAAAAGGTTGAGATTTGCCGGTCCCTTTCCATTTCATTTCAATTTTTGTTATTCGACTCTCATAATTCTTAAAAAATGAATGTGTTTTAGATATACAAGATTAAACACAAATCATTAAATAATGAGTATTTTCTTACAATATGTATAACTTACTCCATCCCAAAAAATTTGATATTAGCTTATAATTTTTAATATCTCAAAAGTTCAGCATTTTTTTACAATAGTATTATATATAGTTTTTAAAATTAATGAGTTTATTCGTTTTGTATTTTTGGGTGGTATGATTTCTTATAAATATTAAAAAAAGTCAGATAAGAATATATTCAAATATACCCGAAACATACATAATAACCACTTTTTCAGAATCATACTAGATTAAAAAGAAAGACCGGTTGTTCAAGTTTTAAGTTAGTCAAATTCATGCCGAAGTAGCGCTCGACATTTAATTGGGGTATGTGTCGTCCTCTGGTTTTATGCATGAAACAGATCATCAATACTCAACACGTAGTTGGGGCACGCGTCATGCACTGGTTTCTTGCATGAAACAGATCCACCATGTGTCCATGTCCAGTGTTGGCTCTCAATAAGTAGACCCTCATTCTGCCTTTCTTGCTCACACACAGAAAAAAATTGTACTCGGGAGTAATTAATTTCACAAGCAAGTTAATATTAATGTTCTTTATTTTTCGCTCTAGTAAGTCATTTGATCTCTTTGTAAATCAATAGCACTGTTTTTTAACATTATCAGAGTAGCTTTCATGCGTCATGGATTCTATCGAACAATTACGATATGGTGGTTGTGGAGACGCGATGACTATTGAGGATATGGCTTTCTTGAAGCTTAATTCCTCTAAAAAGTTCCGTGTGGTTTTGTTGTTCCACGTACACACAATCACACTAACAGCAACGGCAACACTCCACACACTCACACGCACACTCAGAGCTCTGATTGACTATGTTTGCCCTATATGCTTCGATGGATACAGTCTGCGTGGAGGAAAACAAAGAAATGCAAGTTACTGCTGATGCGAATTGCCTTTTCAGGTTCCTCTGTCTGCTATTTTAAGCAATGAATTAATTTAACCTGCGCATCACTGCTGTTGGTGATAATTTATTTGTTTTGTGTTTTTGGTAGGGTACTCGCAGATCAAATAGAAGGAGATGAAGACGAACATGAGAAGTATCCGAGCATGGTGGTTAAGTGTCTTAAGGTGAATATATAGTATGAAGAAATTAATATATGGTGTTCTTGACACTGATTTTACACATTATGATTTTCGGGCATATTTGGTATAATGTTGTTGTTAGAATATATCCATTAAAACATATAAATGCAATAGAATCATAGATCTCAAACATCCAGTCATTGCTAATCATTTCGGTTGTTTTAGGTTGAGCTTTTATGTTTGACCAACATGTTTCGATTGATAGGACAATAAAACAATGTTTGAACCCTTTGTTCAAGATGAAGTTCGTTTTTGACAAATATTGCAAATCCAAAACAGCAACAACTTATAACTGGAAGAATTGAAGGAATTGCTATGGCAATGATGAAAAGCAAAACAAATGCATAGATCCATGCAGCAAATGTAAGTTTTTCGTAGCGTAGATTGATGCTATCGACCCATTACGACAAGGTGGTGGTGGAGATCGACTTCCACCTTTTTAATGTGGCATGGAAAAGTATACCAGCGCCCGAATGCAACCTTCTAGGTCCGATGGATCATGGCAGAGTATAGTTATGTCAGGCGCGCCATCTAACACGGCCCCGCCTTACAAAAATAAAAAATTTTCATTAAGGTTTTAGCTCTTGACATGATGTGAAAATGAGGAACGATTATTGTACTTTTTTGTAATTAAATGAATTTTAACATTCTTTTAGAGTTTATTTTTGTTTTCACTGAAGTTTTATAAGAATAAATATTATATTTTTTATAGTAAAAAAAAAAAAATAGAAATCAAGTTTTAAATTTATAGGCTACTCAGTTTGATATAATATTATAATGAAAATATAGTATAATAATAAATATTTAACCCGATAATTTTTATATATAAAAAAAAAACGATTAAATAGTGAAAATTGTTTCTACAGTTATTCTGAAAATTACTTGAACACTTCTTAGTTTTTGTGTTTATAGG